CGGCAGACCGACAGACCGGGCTGTCACCACAAGGTGGCTCTCACGCCAGCCTTCTCTTCTCAGGATCCACGCCTCTATCTCCTCCTTCCTCATCGCAGGAGGATTCACTTGCAAGCTTCCTTCAATCCTGGATCGGATAGATTTGGATTTCAGATACACAACCCTCACAGGCCCACCTGCTGCATGAAGTCATGTGGGTCACCGTGCAGCCCAAGGTCAACATTATCTCATATTCATCACCCTGGTCCAAGCCTCCTATTACAGATGGAGTGTTCGTGTCTTCCCAAAATTCATACATTGAAATCCTAATTTCCAATGTGATGGAAATGGGGCACCTCAAGATGGAGCTCTCAAGAATGGGATTAGTGCCCTCAGAAGAGACACAAGGAGGATGACCTTTCTCTCTTCACCATGTGAGGACACAATGAGACGACAGACCTGCAAAAACTGGGAAGAGGGTCCTCACCAAGAACCCAACCATGTTGGCTCCCTGATCTTGGACTTACAGCCTCCAGAACTGTGAGAAGTAAATGTCCATTGTCTGAGCCCTCCCCACCCCCCAACATCCCCCAGTCCATGCTATTCTGTTCTAGCAGCCTGAGCTAAGACAACCACATCATCTTACCCCCTGGATTACTACAACAATGTCCCTGCTTCCTGCCCTGAGCCTGGGAAAGCAGAAGAATGGGAAGGGGAGGAAGCAGGACTGAACGACAAGATCTGTCCCAGGGCGCTGTGTCCATTAGACAAAGATGGCCCATGAGCGGAGTCCCTGACCACCACTTGGCTCAGTCCCCACCTGGGGCCATCCCACAGAGTTTGGCCACCTGGAAGCGGGGGCAGACCTGCCAGTGAGAGCAGCTGGAGACTGTCAGCTGCCCAGACTCCTGAAGCTGAGCATCAAGGCCTGTCACGAAGGGCGGTGTGGTCCGCATTCACCCCCTCAGTCTATTCTCAGCAGCACAGCCCCAATGAGCCTATAAAACCCAAGTCAGGCCCTGCTGCTCCCTGACCCAAACCCCCTCATCCCCCACCAAGACACCTCCTACAGGCCTGAAGGGGCCTCTAAGATCTGTCCCACCCCACACCCTCCATGTTCTCCAGCATGATCTTCTCCTTGCTCACCTCACTCCAGCCACACTGACCTCCTTACTGTCCCTCAAGCAGGAAACACCAGACATGCTCCAGCCTCAGGGCCTTTGTACTCTCTGTTCCCTCTTCTGAAAAACTCTTCCCCAGAGAGCCACAGGACTCCCTCCTTCCTTCAGGGCATGCATCAAAATGTCAGCCCCTTAGAGGGAGTATCTCCTCTCTTCTGTTCAACATGGAAACTGCACCCCCCTGCACCCTCTCCCTTCTCCCCCTCCCTGCTTCCCACATAGCATTGATCACCAACCAGAAGGTTCTGTGTTCTGTCTCCCTATAGCTACAGTGTCCTATCTACAAGGGCAGGGACTTTGGCTGTCGTCCCTCGATGGTCTCCGGTGTCTAAGTGCCACAGCTCCAGGGGATGCTCAGTACAAACCTGTTGAGTTAGTAAATTCATACATGAGCCTGGGGTCCTGCTAGGTGCTGGGAATGTAAGCAAGACCCAGCTGCCTGCCCACAGGGGGCCCACAGCCTAGTGGGGCTGGGTGGGAGGGGTAGACACAGGGAAATATGCACCTAGGGTAGGACGAGGGCAAATAGGGAGTTACTTAACTGGTATAGAGTTTCAGATTTGCAAATGTAAGAAGTTCTGGAGCTCTGTTCCTCAACAGTGGGAACGTACTTAACACTACTAAATGGTACATTTTCAAACAGTTAAGACGGTAAATTTTATGTTATGTGTTTTTTACCACCATTAAGCATAAAATTTTTAAGAACAACAATGAAAAATCCCAAAATAGAATAGTGTACCCAGGGGTAGGACCTGAGCTGCTGATGGCACAAAGGCTTCCCCTAAGCCAGTGGAAGCGGAGGCCAGCAAGGGGACTGACTTCAGGGAGAAGGTGACATGGAGCAAAATCCTGAAGCCCTCTCAGGTTCAGCATGTGAGGGTGCTGCAGGGGGAAGGTGCAGACACAGGCAGAGTGTGCAGAGAAACAGAGTAAGGAGGAAGACTGAATCACAGAGGGAAATGGGGAGAGGGGTGAAGCTGGAGAAGGCAATGCGGAGCCACAGAGTGTTCTAAGCAAGGCACTGTGCAGTCAGCTCTATGGGGAAAGGTGGAGGCTGGAGGCCAGGAGACCAGCTAGGAGGCCATTGAGACAGTGGCCCATACAGGGTCGGGTAATGGGAACAGAGGGAGATGTGGGGTTCCAGGGATGTCTCCCAGGCAGAGAGGGCGGGTTGTGGGGATTACTGTCTTGGCTGATCCCACCCTGCTTTTCCTTTGAAAGGGGCCTGGTCATTTAAACCCTGACCCCCAGAACCCCTGAGGAAGGGCTGAGAACAGGGGTTGGGGTCTTGCAGTCTCTACCTGCTCCTCCCTCCTTCCAGTAGATGGGATCAGAAAGGCTTGGGAGAGTCTGGGCCCAGCAGCAGGAGAGGAACTCTGGGAGCAGAGGCTGTCTTGGGGGTGTGGTAAGAACTGGCCTCCAGGGACCTCCGTTCTCATGCCCTCAAGGGTCAGAACTAAGTGGGCGAGGTTGTCAACTCTGAAAATCCAGGAGGCTCTGCTCAGCCTGGCCCAGAGGGACAGGCCTGGAAGGGGAAGCCAGCTCAGCCTGATCCTGAAGGTCTGAGATCTGAGCCAAGCCCTCCACACTGGCTGCCCCAGAAGTCTCCCTGCTAGGGGCTGGAGGCAGGATTCTCAGGGACCTGGCGCTGGGGCACTGGGAGTCCAAGGACTGAATCCTATTGTGGAAAAACAAGGACCTTCCTGCCACCTGCCCCCAGGCCTCAGCCCCCACCTCCCACATTCCCTTTCCTTAGCTGCCCTGTTCCCCCACCAGTCCACCCCTGAGCCCTGTCTGCTCCCACCAAGACCAATCCACAGACCCCTTTTGGCCACAACTATTTTGTCACTTTCTGAGCCACCACTCACTTGAAAACTTTCTGGGTACCGATATCATGCTATGTACTGACTGGACCTCCTAGCAACCCTACACAATAGGAACCATTCCTATCCCCATTCTACAGAGGAAGAAACTGAGGCACAGGAGTCAACAGCAACGTCTCAGCTTCTAGGATCTTCTGCCTCTGCCCAGCAAAGTCTCAGCACCCTAGGGGCAGCAACCCAGGTCGTTGCAATCCTTGACCTTTGCTCATGTTGCCCCTTCTTCCCAGAACGATTCCCGAGCCCCTTCACGTGGCTAATCCAGTTCTCTCTGAGTCCCCCTGGAGTCCTCCGGAAAACTTTCCATATTTACAACATTCCCCTTGAATGAATTGAGATGCTCAATTCCTGCCTCCTGTACCAGCCAGTGAGAGCAGGAGGCCAGAGCCCACACCTGGCTGGTTTATGGTCCAATTCCACCCCCCACCCCCTCCACTTACAATACTGGGGGCACAGGAGACCCTCATTAGCGTTCATCCACAGGGTGGTGCCTGAATGACCCGGGGCAGGTTCCACCCACCTCCTTAATTGCTTTGGGTGCCCTCACCTCATGTAGAGGCATGAGAGTGGGATCCAAACTAAAAGTGGGGAGCCCCTCCTCTACAGTCTCCAGTGACCTCTGGGAGCCGCTTAGTGACCTCTGATTGCCTGCCCAGGAGTGGGGATGTTGGAGAACTCGGCAAGAATTCAGGCTGGGGTGAGAGCCCAGCTCCACCACAGCCTCCGGGGAGGGCAGATATAACCCGTGTCTCCCAGCGTGGTTCCCCAGTCCTGACGAGCCCCCACTGCCAAGTCCTCGCACAGTGCGGAGCACCCTGAGGCCACCTAAAAAATGAGTGGCCTTTTCCCTCCTTCCAACCTAGGACAGAGGCCCCCAAGGTCAAGGAAAGGCCCTTCTCCAGAGGCCCCCACACCCTCATCCCCATCTGCCCATCCCTCACAGCCCTCAGGTCAGTTGCAGGATCAGAAAGTTCTCACTATGATCCTTTCAAATCCAGCCACCCTGGAAACACTTGGCCCCGGAGAACTCCTGTTCCAGAACCGGAGAAACAGGCTAGGAGGGTTACCGGCCCGAAGACCGCGCTGAGGGTGAAGAAGGAGCCGCCAGAGGCTTCTCGAGCCCCTTCCACACCCCGAATTCTCAGGGCCGCCTCCCTGCCCCTTACTCGAGCCTGGCTTCACCGACGCTGCTCCTCCTGGTCCCCGCCCCCCGCTCTGAAAAGCGCCCGGCCGCCCTCCCGCCGCGCTTCCTGCCCCCACCCCGCCCCTCCGCGCTATTTAAGGCGCCCCCGCTGCCCGGCGCCGTCCAGCAGGGCTCCCGCGGGCGCCGCTCCGCCGTCGGCTTCCCCGCTGCCACTGGGCCGCCCGCAGGCAGGCAGGCGGTGAGTGGGGCTGGGGTGGGGCCCGGGGCGCCACCTGCCAGCGAGCGGGGGACACGTCCGCCACTGGCCAGGGGCTGAGGGGGGCTGCGGGGTCGGGGGGAGCCCCCACGGCCACCTGCGGCCAGGCTCTCTGCTAAGCCGTGTTCCAGCCTTCTTTCGCGGTGTTCTTAAAACCCTGAGAGGTGAGAGTATTTCCGTTTTACAGGCGGGAAGACTGAGCTGCCAAGGCTGACACTTACCCAAGGTTAGTTAGTAAGAGGGAGTGAGGACCTGGCTGGAAAGAGCTTTGCTCTGAGGAAGAAGGACCACCCCTGCACCCTTCCCTGCATTTCTTCCCCCCAAGTCTCCCCTCCCCTGCCCTCCCCTCCCCAACCTTCTGGGAACTTTGTGGCCTGCGCCTCCACTCTGCTATGACAATTCTTTTAAGAGTCTAGAATTTGGCACCATCAGCTTGGGGCCGGTAAGGGGTGGGGGGAGGGATGGAGAAAGAGGGTAAGCTCAGTGCCCACACTGAAGGGGCAGATGGTCGCTATTGCTGACAGGTGGAGCTGTTACAGGGTGCTGCCTTTAGCATCTAACCCCCCCTCCCACTGGCTCCCCCACCACAAGCTCAAAGGTTAGAGTGAGGGCAGCTGGGTGAGCTACAATGGACAGGAGAGTGGGGACCGAGGCTTTGGGCCCCCTGAGAAGCTGAAGATAGCACTGCCACCACCCCCACAATCTGGGGACACACTGTCACTGCCTGTCACTGGCAAAAGGAAGGAGGGGCATAGCACAGCTGTGTGACCTTAGGTAAGTTCCTCAAATTCTCTGTTCCCATTAGCTCAGGAGCCTCAGCTGGATCCAAATCTTGAGCTGTGTCATCCTGGGACTCTGGCTGGGAACAAGAGGGCATAGATGTATGACAAGACAAGGACCCTAGCATATTTTGTCAGAGCTTAGTAGCCCTCATCCAAAGATCAGCCTTCATCAGTCCTGACCGCCCTGCTGGGTGTGAGCCCCCAGACCAGTCCCTTCCCATCCTTGAGCTTCAGTGTCCCTATAGGCACAATGGGCACAGCCACCCTCCCTGCAGATTTGTTGCTCATTTGACTGGGGTGGATGCCATGCTGACAGTGTCCTCTGTCTCCCTGCAGACGGAGGCCGGGGAGCCATGGGCGACTGGGGCTTCCTTGAGAAGCTGTTGGACCAGGTCCAGGAGCACTCCACCGTGGTGGGCAAGATCTGGCTGACGGTGCTTTTCATCTTCCGCATCCTCATCCTGGGCCTGGCTGGTGAGTCGGTGTGGGGCGACGAGCAGTCCGATTTCGAGTGTAACACGGCCCAGCCGGGCTGCACCAACGTCTGCTATGACCAGGCCTTCCCCATCTCCCACATTCGCTACTGGGTGCTGCAGTTTCTCTTCGTCAGCACGCCCACCCTGGTCTACCTGGGCCACGTCATTTACCTGTCCCGGCGTGAGGAGCGGCTGCGGCAGAAGGAGGGGGAGCTACGGGCGCTGCCGGCCAAGGACCCACGCGTGGAGCGGGCACTGGCGGCCATAGAGCGCCAGATGGCCAAGATCTCGGTGGCGGAGGACGGTCGTCTGCGGATCCGAGGGGCGCTCATGGGCACCTACGTGGCCAGCGTGCTCTGCAAAAGCGTGCTGGAGGCAGGCTTCCTGTATGGCCAGTGGCGTCTCTACGGCTGGACCATGAAGCCTGTGTTCGTGTGCCAGCGCGCACCCTGCCCCTACCTCGTAGACTGCTTCGTCTCTCGGCCCACGGAGAAGACCATCTTCATCATCTTCATGCTGGTGGTCGGACTCATCTCCCTGGTCCTCAACGTGCTGGAGCTGGCTCACCTGCTGTGCCGCTGCCTCAGCCGGGAGATGAGGTCACCGCGGGGCCAGGACACCCCCCCAACTCAGCGGAACTCCTCGGAGCCCTACGCTGACCAGGTCTTCTTCTACCTCCCTGTGGGCGATGGACCCTCGTCCCCGCCATGCCCCACCTACAATGGGCTCTCATCCAGTGAGCAGAACTGGGCCAACCTGACTACAGAGGAGAGGCTGGCTTCTTCCAGGGCCCCCCTCTTCCTGGACCCACCCCCTGAGAGTGGCCAGAAATCCCCCAGTCGCCCCAACAGCTCTGCTTCCAAGAAGCAGTATGTGTAGGGACCTGGGGCTCCTGTTACCCAGCAGAGGGGCCCCAGAAAATGTGGCTGCCTTGGAGACCCCCTCCAGGAAGACTGCAGGGATGAGGGGGGCAGTGGAAGCCAGTGCTTGCTGGCCAGGCAGCCTCATTGCAGCCTGTTTTTGAACATCTGGGGCCTTCCTGGTGAGCAGAGGGCACCGTGGTTTCCCCTCCAGAATGTGACTTTGCCCCAGGCATGGACCAAGCCAGCTTGGGGTGCTCTTGGCCAAGGCTGTTGTGGCATCTCTGGACTTTTTCATCTGGTTCAGAGCAAGCCTGGAGCCAGTGTCACCCCACCCTCGTGGGAGATGCCCCTCTGCCCACATGTCCCTCACAGGAGAAGGCTGGTCAAGGCTGCTGGGTCGGCCTTGATCACACGCACGGAGCCTGTGCTGGGTCTGGCCCTGTCCAGGGGACTGGTGTCTTGTTCTCATCACTCCTTCCTAGTTCCACTGTTTATGCTTCTAAAATAAACAAGACTTGATCACAGGCTAGGTGTGTACTGATGCTGTTGTGATGTGCCTCCAAGGGTTGGGGGGCAGTTGCTTTGCCCATCTTCCCTTTCTTTGGAGTCCTGTGTGATCTTTGACCTCCACAACCCCAACTCCACCCGTACCTTAAACCCTCACACCACTATATCCTGCCTCTCAGCAGCCCTGAGTCCGAAACACTCAATTTTTGAAATGCCTCTGACATGGTTCTCCTCTCTCCATTCCCACTACATAGCCCCCCACGTGCCCTGTGGCCATCCAGTGCCCCGGCCACACTGTGAGCAGTGCACCTCCTTACCAGACACCCTGCTACCCAAGCATGCCTGCCAGCCATGCTCTTTACAGTCCAGCTCCAGTGGGCCCCGCACTCTATCCCTCCTCATCCTGGGCCCCTGGGTATTTGGGGAGGCAGGCTTAGATCACTTGCCCCTTCCTACCTTGGCCCTTTCTAAACTGCCCACCAGAAAGAGCAACCTCGGGGCCTGAATCATGTCTCTTCCCCATGCACTGAAAACTCAGTAAGAACAGAGAAGTGGAAGAAACTGTGAAGGGACCAGATCTTGCCTGAGTCACATTTGCAGAAAAGGAAACAGTGGAACTGGATCTTGACAGGTGCATTGGAGTTCACTGGGAAGGTGAAGAAAACACGGAGTATTAGAGCAGAGAACATTGTTTCTGCAAAAGCATGGAGAAGAGGGATGGTCAGGGGCTTCAGAGGGTGCTTATGGCTTGATGAGCCATCCAGGATGTGGGAGGTGTGGCTGGGGATGAGCCCAGTGTTGGCAGACTTGACCTTTCATGGAAGGTGACATGGGTGGGAGAGAACACTTAGATAGTGGCCTTCAGAAGCAAGCTGGTTGTCCTTCCCTGCCCAGGGAGATCTGGGGCTGGGGTTGGAAGGGGGGACTGGGTCCATCTCAAGGGGCCACGTGTCTCTCCTTGAGAGCCTTTGAAGCAGGTTGGCAACTTGTCTCCACTTCCATCAAGATAGGTCTCCAAAACACCAGTCCTGCACCCCTCACCCCAAAACTAACTCACACACCATTTACCTGTCAAGTCTGAATGCTCAGCCTGGAAAGTTACAGCCCTATAACTCCTCCAGCTCTGGTCCCTCTTGTTCCCAGAAATCTAATAGACCATCCTCCTCATGGTTCCCCAGACTCATCTGGGTGTGCTCCCACATTGGTCCTTTGCCAGTCCAGAGCACTCCTTCCCCCCACTTCCAAGCCTCACCGGTCCTTTAAACACTACACCACACTGGAAAAGCAGTACCTGGTTACAGAGAGAAAGATGAGTGTTGACATCAGAGGGTCCTCAATGTCCATGCTGCTTCTGACATGTACAAAGCCATGCCGTCTTAAGTCAGTCATTTCACTTCTTTGAGTCTGTTCTATCCTCTATAATATGCAGATAACATTACCTGCCTCACAAGGAACAAGACATAAAAACAAGAGGAAGCACAATCTTGTCCTTGGCTCCTAGTAGCCATGCAATAAAATTCAGCTCAGCCTCCAGCAAGGCTATCACAGGTCCTTCTGCCTCAGGGAAGCCCTCCTTGATTTCTCCAGCCAGTCCTCAGTGATGATCTCTACCTCAGGAAATTGAACCACTGCTTAGTATGAGTCCATTCCATCTCCCCAGTGAGTCTCTAAGGATCACTGGGGGGTCGCTTTTATTCCCCGTGGGCCTAGCCCATCATTCACTATGAAATGAGGGACCGAGTTAGACTTGGCAGAAAGCAAGCTGTTTGTGCATAAGAAGGGCACAATCCAAGAGGCTGAGGTCCTCTTCCAAGGGATTCTCCCTGAGCCAGGGTGAGAGGGCAGATCTGTGGGTTAGAGGATAGTCTCTTAGAGCCATTCCAACCTGAAGGTTGTAGAAGCCTGTGCTTACCATAGGTATTCCCTACCCATCCTAGTTTGGAAGGGTGAAAGAGGAAAGTTTTAGATGAGTGAGGAGGGTATCCTTCCCTTCCCTCAAAGTTCATCCATTCTGAGCTTGGACTGGTGTCCGGGGTCAGGCCAGGGACTTGGTTTTTGGGCAAGAACTGGAGTTGGGTCCTAGGCTGTTGGCCAACAAACACGAAGGCAAATGGGCTGTGGTTTAAGAATGAGAATACTCGGGGCGCCTGGGTGGCTCAGTGGGTTAAAGCCTCTGCCTTCAGCTCGGGTCATGATCCCAGCATCCTGGGATCAAGCCCTGCAACAGGCTCTCTGCTCAGCTGGGAGCCTGCTTCCCTTCCTCTCTCTTTGCCTGCCTCTCTGCCTACTTGTGATATCTGTCTGTCAAATAAATAAATAAAATCTTAAAAAAAAAAAAAAGAATGAGAAAACTGTGGTGGGATGGGAATGGGGCCACACAGAGGCGGTGGGGGCAGAGCAGTAGGGGGAAGACTTATAGATGAAGGATGGCCACAAGCTCCAACCCACCTTACTCTTTTCCTAGTGCTTTTGTAACAAAGCACCACAGACTGGGTGGCTTCAACAGAAACCTATTCTCTCAGAGTCCTGGAGGCTGGGAGTCTGAGATCAGGCTGTTGGCAGGGTCAGTTCCTTCTGGGGACTGTGCGGCAGAGTCTGTTCCAGGCCTCTCTCTCCCAGCTTCTGTGAGTTGCCGGCCATCTTTGATATTCCTTGGCATCACCTCCATCTCCGCCTTCGTCTTCATGTGGCATTCTCCCTCTGTGTGTATCCGTCTCTGTGTCCACATTTTTTCATAAGGACATCAGCCATATTGGATTTTAAGGCCATTCTAATGACTTCATTTTAACTTGATGACCTCTGTAAAGACCCTATTTCCAAATAAGGTCACATTCTGAGGTACTAGAGGTGAGGACTTCAGCATACCTCTTTGGAGGGGGAGGGCATAACCCACACTGCCACCCCACCACCCCCACCTCACCTCTAAGCACTAGTGGGGGCGAGGCCAAGGAGAATGTTAAGTATGTACTGGACTCAGGCGTCTCCTTGTTGACGTGGGCCTAGATTGAACCCAGCACATTCCACCTCGCTCCTTCCTCCCACCTGCCTATTCCTCACCACCACCAAAATCTTAGATGGTAACAGGCAGTTCTCAGTCACAGAAAGAGTCATGGGAGGCTTGACTCCTGCCTCCCATTCCTCACACTGACTTGACTCTGGTCCTTTTCCTTTTCTGGGCCTCAGTTCCCCCTGCAACTGTGAAATGAAAGGGTTAAATGAGAAACAGGTATGTGGCAATTAGTTATGAGGAGCCTTGCAAGGAAGTAACCTGTGACTAATCACTGGTCTAAAGCTCATGAGTGATGGGCTATTTTCATCAATCAGAACGGATTCCAGATTGTTCCTATAATAAGATCAGTTCCAGTCACTTGAATTCACATTGCCTTCCTGAGTAGGAAAGAAAGGGACGGGGTTATGCAGAGTGCACTGGGAATTTTGCATAACCCAAGGTCATCTTATCTATGACCCCGGGGGAGCATGTGAACGTCATGTGTCGCACAGAAACAGAGCTGTCGGGCTGGGTGATGTCAAACCTCTTCCCAGCCTAACATGCTGGTTCTGCTGTGCTTGTTCCCTGGCCTCTGGGGTGCTGACCTCATGATTCTACTACCAGCCCCCAGTGACTCTGCTGAGGAACCTTTATTTCCTTTTTACACTAGCCTCAGCATGACCACTGACATTTATAGAAAGGGATCTCTACCACGGATTGTTAGAACTTCTTTTTCCACCTTACAACTTCCCCCACCAGCCCTGGTTCTGACCCCAAGCGTCACACAAGGCTCAACCATTCTGTCCTTCCCAGGCAAGCACAGTAGCCACAAGCAGATAGCCACCAAGCTGGTGCACATTCTGTTCTTCTCCTATTCTTCCAGCTGACTCTGATTTCCAGAAGTCTCTGGCCCATCAGCAATCTGTCTACTTTCCTCTTAACGTGTGCCTCACTCCCCTGGGTGCTAGACATGAGAGTCAAAGTGGTCAGGATCCAGATTATCACCTCCCTTGACTCAAAACTTCTACCTCTATTAATGCAACATAGGATTATATTAACTTTTCTATTTTCTTCTCTTTTCCATATCTAGAAAATTTTTTCGGATTATAAAGATCATCCATGATCATTGTAGAAAATGAGATCTCACCCATGCAGGCATAATAACTATTAATATTCAGAAATAATTCCTTCTGGGCTCTTCCATGAATATTTTTAAATGAAATCTGAATGAAGGTGTACCTACAGTTCTGTATTCTATTTTCATTTTACATAAATCATAGGCCTTTTCTCCATGTCATCAAGTTGGAAACACTACTTAATGGCTTTATCATTATCTACTTAACCATAACCCTGATATTGGATTTTTAGATTGTTTGCAATTAATTATCCTCTATTATAAATTGTATTGTGATGTAGACGCCTGCACATAAGTGTTTTCCAAATTGCCTATTTCCTTTAAAGAAAGACATTCCAAGAAGTGAAATTACTGGGTCAAAGGTACGGCATTTTTTCATTTTAAAAAGTTAGGGGCTTTTTTCTGATTGTGGAAGTAATTCACTATGGGTGATTCAGAAACGCAGAAACGCACAAGCAAATCCTAAGAAGGAAAGGCACCAGCCACCTCTGAGCGTGGGGGAGAAGAAGGTGAAGCTGAAAACAGGAGCCCTGACTCAAGGCACAGGGACTGAGGAACCCTCTACCCCCACCCTTGGGCAGTTGGAAGCCTGTTCTCAGGGGACTACAAAGCAGAGATGGAGAGGGAGACACCATGCAGAGTGCAGGGTGGGAGCAGCATAAAGAACACAGGGGAGGGGCGCCTGGGTGGCTCAGTGGGTTAAGCCTTTGCCTTCGGCTCAGGTCATGGTCCTGGGGTCCTGGGATCGAGCCCTGCGTCGGGCTCTCTGCTCTGCAGGGAGCCTGCTTCCCTTCCTCTCTCTCTGCCTGCCTCTCTGCCTACTTGTGATCTCTCTCTGTCAAATAAATAAATAAAAATCTTTATTAAAAAAAAAAAAAAGAACACAGGGGAGGGGA